GGGACCCCCCATTCCTCCCTCTGTCGTGAGCCGATTGAAAAATCATTATCTTACTACCTAAAGAACCTCCAATTCATCAAAAATAATTAAAAAACTCATTTGTTAATTACTAAACCACACTCGTATCGCTACGCTCGTCCGAGACTCGATCCGAGACTGGTTTCCGCAATGTTCAAGGGACCCCCCATTCCTCCATCTGTCGCGAGCCGATTGAAAAATCATTATCTTACTACCTAAAGAACCTCCAATTCATCAAAAATAATTAAAAAACTCATTTGTTAATTACTAAACCACTCTCGTATCGCTACTCTCGTCCGAGACCCCATGCGAGACTGCTTACAGCAATGTTTACGGGACCTTCACCTACCCTGTCCACCGATAGACGCTCCAAAAATGTTTTTCTTGCTATTCAAAGCCCCTCTAACTAATCGGAAATGGTTAAATAATTAATTTGCCAATTACTTAACCACTCTCGTATCTCTACTCTCGTCCGAGACTTGATCCGAGACTGCTTTCAGCAACGTTTAAGGGACCCTCAATTACCCTTTCTACCTACATTGGGTCCACAAATTATTTTCAACTTATCTAATGCACCCTCAATTAATAAACAAATTGGTTTGTGAAGGCATAAACAACTATCGGATGCACTCGCGGACGAGAGTCTTTACTGGAGTTTGGCGCCCTAACCTCCGAAAATCCGGGAGTCGAATGAGTGTCCATTCCGAGTGTCGGAGCTACTCTCGGATAGGTCTCGCACTCATCCGCCAGCCGATTGAAAAATCATTATCATACTACCTAAGGAACCTCCAGTTAATAAAAAATAATTAACAAATTCATTTGTTAACTACTAATCCACTCTCGTATCGCTACTCTCTTCCGAGACTCGATCCGAGACTGGTTTCCGCAATGTTCAAGGGACCCCCCATTCCTCCCTCTATCGATAGCCGATTGAAAAATCATTCTCTTGAAACTCAATGTGCATCCAATTAATAAAAAATCATTAACAGACTCATTTGTTAATTACTAAACCACGTTCGTATCGCTACTCTCGTCCGAGACTGGATCCGAGACTGGTTTCCGCAATGTTCAAGGGACCCCCCATTCCTCCCTCTATCGATAGCCGATTGAAAAATCATTCTCTTGAAACTCAATGTGCATCCAATTAATAAAAAATCATTAACAGACTCATTTGTTAATTACTAAACCACGTTCGTATCGCTACTCTCGTCCGAGACTGGATCCGAGACTGGTTTCCGCAATGTTCAAGGGATCCCCCATTCCTCCCTCTGCCGTGAGCCGATTGAAATATCATTATCATACTACCTAAGGAACACCTAATTAATCAAAAATAATTAGCAAACTCATTTGTTAATTACTAAACCACTCTCGTATCGCTACTCTCGTCCGAGACTCCATCCGAGACTGCTTTCAGCAATTTTTAAGGGACCTTCACATACTTCGTCCAACGATAGACGCTGCAAAAATTTTTTTCTTGCTACTCAAAGCCCCTCTAACTAATCGGAAATGATTAAATAATTAATTTGCCAATTACTTATCTACTCTCGTGTCTCTACTCTCGTCCGAGACTCGATCCGAGACTGGTTTCCGCAATGTTCAAGGGCCCCCCCCTTCCTCCCTCTATCGATAGCCGATTGAAAAATCATTCTCTTGAAACTCAATGTGCATCCAATTAATAAAAAATAATTAACAAACTCATTCGTCAGTTAATAAACCACTCTCGTATCGCTCCTCTCGTCCGAAACTCGACCCGAGACTGGTTTCCACAATGTGCAAGGGACCCCCCATTCCTCCCTCTATCGATAGCCGATTGAAAAATCATTCTCTTGAAACTCAATGTGCATCCAATTAATAAAAAATAATTAACAAACTCATTCGTCAGTTAATAAACCACTCTCGTATCGCTACTCTCGTCCGAAACTCGACCCGAGACTGGTTTCCACAATGTTCAAGGGACCCCTCGTTCCTTCCTCTCTCGTGAGCCGATTGAAAAATCATTATCATACTACCTAAAGAACACCCAATTAATAAAATATAATTAACAAACTCATCTGTTAATTACTAAACCCCTCTCGTATCGCTACTCTCGTCGGAGACTCGATCCGAGACTGGGTTCCACAATGTTCAAGGGACCCTCCATTCCTCCCTCTATCGATAGCCGATTCAAAAATCATTCTCTTGAAACTCAATGTGCATCCAATTAATAAAAAATAATTAACAAACTCATTCGTCAATTAATAAACCACTCTCGTATTGCTCCTCTCGTCCGAGACTCGATCCGAGACTGGTTTCCCCAATGTTCAAGGGACCCTCCATTCCTCCCTCTGCCGTGAGCTGATTTTAAAATCATTATCATACTACTTAAGGGTCCCCTAATTAATCAAAAATAATTATCAAACTCATTTGGTAATTAGTAAACCACTCTCGTATTGCTACTCTCGTCCGAGACTCGATCCGAGACTGGTTTCCGCAATGTTCAAGGGATCTCCCATTCCTCCCTCTGTCGTGAGCGGATTGAAAAATCATTATCTTACTACCTAAAGAACCTCCAATTAATCAAAAATACTTAACAAACTCATTTGTTAATTACTAAACCACTCTCGTATCGCTACTCTCGTCCGAGGCTCCATCCGAGACTGGTTTCCACAATGTTCAAGGGACCCCCCATTGTTCGGTGCACAACCGATTTTTTTTAAATTTGAATGGGGGAATTTCCTCAAATTATTGGTAATTGGAGAAAAATGGTTATATCACAGTTTATGGAGACCCAAAATCTGGGGTCTGACAATCACTCCCTTTTTTGCTTTTCAAGGGTTGAGTTTATCCTTTTTATTACGGTCTCACCATAAATCTTAGGAATTTTGAGAAAGTCGGAAGGAAGTAAAATGTTTTCCCCACACGTGCCAAACAGATGACCACCCGTCCAGGCACACCAAAAATTATTCTCTATATAAAAAAAAGGTATCCCATAATTTCGGAAAATCCCCAAAACTTTCTCAACTGTAGTTTTATACACGCCTTCCCACTTACTTCTGACCATGAGTTTTAAAACGAGAAAATAAGATGAGCCAATAAGAAACATCCATCCCTCCCATTTTCGAATTCAGAACTTGGAATTTTCCCTCAAATCTGAACAGTAACCATCGCGACGTCGTTCAGTGAAGACTCGACTCTCACTGAACCTCTCTATATATCTGGACCTGTCTTCAATTAATTTCTCGTAGTTTTAACTCTTATCGTGTATTCAATTTGTGTATCTTTGAACAATAATTTTCGTGTAATTAAATTTAAGGTGTTTAGTGAACCTGTGTTATTATTCAAAAACATCCTCAACTCTATTTTTATCCACATTACACTGAGTCGGTTTACGTTCCCGTATCAGTTGTTGGATAATTATTGGCGTGCTACAGTTCAAGCATACCTGGCATTTACGACCCTAGGAAAAGGTCCTCTACGAAGATCCAGAGTCAACCGCGTCAATAACATCCAACAAACAAAATGGTCCTTCGAGCCGGATATATAAGAATTTTTTAGTGTCGTTACGAAGTGTTATTCACTATAAACAATTAATTATTATTGAACAGTTCGCGAGTGCGTGTACTAAGACCGTCTACTCTAGTGCATCCAACTACAAGAACTTCGCCGGAGTCATCCAGGAGATGGACGTTTGAAGGTTCTACCTGCCTCCACCTACCTGTTTAATTGACCACCGAACATTATCCTCTAAATACATCCTTCAATTTAAAGTGTCGATTTCTTCACTCGCTGACAAAATTCAATCACGATGGCAGATCCATTAACGCCTGAGCAATTGGCTGTGAGACGAAGGGAGTTCGTTTCGGTACGAGGAAGTCTCAGAACGAGAATCACCAAATTAAATACGTATCTCGTGAAGAATGGAGTTTATTCGTCAATCCCTTACATTGACAAACATTACGAAAAAATTCTTGGCGAGATGGAAACAATGCCGAACGTTCTACGGGAGCTTCAAACATTAGAGGCCAACGTAGACCACGAAGCAATCCACGACACAATGGAAGATGATGTTGAAGAGTTGAGAGTCCTCATTCAACGAATAAAAATGCCAGGACTTGAGACCCACGTTGATGTCACCCCCCCAGCTAGAAACCGCAGTGCTTCTCCAGTGTCAGTGGGTTCGCACTCACACGCACGAACATATTGCACAAATTATTTGAAATCGTTGCCCAAACTGGAAGCAAAGAAATTCGACGGTAAGCTGGAGAATTGGCGGACATATAGGGATTGGTTTATTTCTACCATCCACAATCATGAAGGTCTAACGGATGCTCAATGCCTGGATTATTTAAAACGTACCTGCATAGGCGAAGCTGCCGAGACCATCAAGGCTTTTCAAGCCACTGACGAGAACTACTCTGTCGCGTGGACTTTATTAGAAAAAACATATGACATCGAGTATGTATTAGTTCTCCGTCACTGCGATATTCTGATGGAAACTCCATCTATGAAGAAAAACTCTTCCGAAGAGATTAATAAATTATTGAATCACATTCAGACCCAGATTTTGGCCATGAAGGCACTGGGAAAAAATGTTGCGCGCTGGAACACTCTTCTGGTACATCTCATTCTCCGAAAGATAGATAAAGAGACTGCTAAAGAATGGAATCGAAAGATGCAAGGGAATAAACTACCAGACTATGAGGATCTCTTGACCTTTTTAAGAGAAGAAGCTATACGACTCGCCTCGATGTCATCGTACGCTCCTGTTTCCACTTCTCGCCATTCTACAGACTCTCCAACGAATGGAAAATCCAAAAATCAAAGGGGATACACCCCAAAGACAGAAGCCCTGCTAGCAAACACATCGGAACTGCAATGTCCCCGCTGCAAGGGGCAGCATTCCCTGAAAACTTGTGAAAAGTTTCTCGCTCTCGCTTCTCTGGACAGAATTCAAGCCGCTCGTCAGGCCTCTCTATGCCTCAATTATCTTCAGGCAGGTCATAAAACGAGATTTTGTAAAGAAGGAGACTGTGCCACTTGTCACAAGAAACATCACGAGCTCCTCCACCTCAACGAAGACGAAAAGAAGATGCTGAGAGGATCTCTATCTGGAAAAACCATCGCTCTCGTGGCCACCTTGCCAACGCGAGACTTCGTCGTCACTGCTGTCATCAACATTCTCGATCATCAACAAAAACCGATTCAGTGTCGAGCTATTTTAGACACTGGAGCTAGCACCAATTTTATGACTGATGCCTTAGCCAAGAAATTGAAATTGCCACGAGAAAAACTCACGATGCCTGTGGAGGGACTGAATAATGCTCAAACTGCGGCTAATGACTTGGTGAATACCACCATCCAATCAAGGATCAATGGGTTCAACAGATCACTCAGTTTTCTCACTGTTAATCAAATTGGTGGACTTTATCCCATGGAACCAATTGACAGGAGTGTTCTCCAAATACCTAAAAATATCACGTTGGCTGATCCATTATTCGATCGTCCAGCACCAGTGGATATTCTGATCAGTGTGGGCACGAGTTTGTCAATGTTCTGCCAGCGTCAAATCCGGTTGAATGGCCCCAAAGATCCAGATTTAATTCTTCAGCAAACGCAATTGGGATGGATTCTTGGGGGGAGTGCTCTACCAAACAATCACTCTGCCATAGATCAGCCTCCAGTACAATGCAACCTGGTCACTGAATCAGAAACGAGCGAGTCAACTTTTGATATCAGGAAATTCTGGGAACTGGAAGAAGTCCCAAAAATTTCTCACTCTTATTCTCAAGAGGAAGAACTCTGTGAAGCTCATTTAAAAGAAAATGTCACGAGAGATGGAAATGGAAAATACATCGTTTCATTACCATTTAAAAAGGAGGTTCTGTCTGACACAAAGGAATTAGCAGAGGCACGTTTGAGAGCACTGCGACGAAAATTTGTACGCAATCCTGAATTAGAGGAGTCCTATAGGGCAGTGTTACAAGAATTGACCTGGGACACATGTCCGAGACCCCAGAAGCTGACCCGTCTGGAGAAGGCTTCTACCTGCCTCATCATGCGGTAATAAAGACTACGAGCCTCACTACAAAGGTTCGTGTCGTTTTCAACGCATCTGCAAAGACTGGTGCTACTGCAATTTCCCTGAACGACGCACTGATGACGGGCCCCACTATTCAAGACGACATTTTTTCATTACTACTTCGCTTCAGATCTCATCAGTACGTGTTGACTGCGGACATTGAAAAAATGTATCGTCAGTTTTGGGTTCGTGAAGAAGACCGAAAATTCCAAAGAATTCTGTGGATGGATGCTGAGGGACGAACAAAGACATATGAATTAAATACTGTCACTTTCGGCGTCGCCTCTGCCCCATATCTGGCAATCCGATGGTTGCACCAGTTGGCCGACGACAAGAGTGAGGATTTCCCTGAAGCCGCCCTTCGGATCAAAAGTGACCTGTATGTCAATGACCTACTCACAGGAACCGATTCATATGAAGCTGCCGTGAGTCTCCGCGATGATATCGATGCTCTGCTGAAACGAGGTGGGTTAAATTTGAGGCAATGGGCCTTCAATGATCCCAGGCTATTGCAGAATCTACCTGAGAGCAACGTCAATCTCCAACTGCAGGTAGACAAGGATGCCACCATCAAGACCCTCGGAATACACTGGGACCCACAGCGGGATGCCATCATCTACACAGTAAAACCGATGCCTACCGCTTCAAAGGTCACTAAACGATCCATTGCATCAGAGCTGGCCCAAATTTTCAACCCTCTCGGTCTACTTGGCCCAGTTATTGTTCGAGGTAAAATTATTATGCAGTTATTGTGGAAAGAACAATTGGATTGGGACGATCCTGTCCCATCCAGTGTTTCTACCGAGTGGAAATCGTATAAAAATCAACTATCTGTGTTAAACAATGCGTCATTTGATAAGAAAGTCATCATGGCTGACACTAAAGAAATCCAATTGCATGGATTTTGTGATGCAAGCGAAAAAGCTTACGGCGCTTGCATTTACCTGAAAACAATTGACTCCAACGGTACCTCTGAAATAAAATTATTATGTGCCAAGTCACGAGTTGCTCCAATCAAAACGACAACTCTACCGAGGCTCGAGTTATGTTCAGCTTTATTGCTTGCGGATTTATATCAAGTGATGAAAAAATCGTTGACTCATGAGATTCATCGGGCATTCTTCTGGTCTGACTCCATGGTGGCTTTACACTGGATCAAGACCCCACCACACAAACTCCTCGTATTCGTTGCAAATCGAGTCTCTGGAATTCAAGAGAAGACTAGGGGTAGTGAGTGGCGTCATGTACGGACGCACGACAACCCTGCAGATCACGTGTCCCGTGGATTAACCGCTGCAGAATTAATCGAAAATACGCAGTGGAAAAATGGACCATCGTGGCTGAATCTGGACGAATCAAGCTGGCCCACTTCTGAATTACTGATTCCTATGGAAATTCCAGAAATCAGGAAGGTCCAGTGCCTTCTAACGACTCCAAAGAACGATCTCTAGGAACGTTACTCGTCGATTGGTCATCTCAGAAGGATCGTCGCTTTATGTTTGAGGTTCAAGAACAGAAGACATGGACCCATCACTGCTGAAGAGCTACGATTGGCAAATGAGAGAATTATCAAGTTGGTTCAAGCAGAAACGTTCTCGAGTGAAATTAAGGACCTCAAAAAGGGCGAATCACTCCCACCCAAACACAAATTGTTGTCACTCAGTCCTTTCCTGGATCAAAACGGATTGATAAGAGTGGGAGGGCGACTGAGCAACGCCACAATCCCTTATGCTCAACAACATCCCTTATTGCTACCAAAGGGACACTCCATCTCTAAGCTACTCGTTCGGAATGAGCATCTCACCAACTTCCATGCTGGAGCTCAAACCACTCTCTATTCTCTGCGCAAGAAATATTGGTTGATCAATGCGCGAGCCCAAGTGTGAAAAATCATCGGAGAATGTACGAGATGCGTGCGGGCCAGCCCCCCCAGCAGTGACTACGTTATGGCTAACCTACCCAAGGTTCGCGTCACACAGGCCAAACCTTTTGTCAACGTCGGTGTGGATTATTGCGGACCCTTTTTTTTAAGGAGAAGAAACATCGGAACAGAGCACGTGTCAAGGTCTGGGTCGCTGTGTTTGTGTGCATGACAGTAAAGGCAGTGCACCTTGAGGTGGTCAGCGACCTGACGACCGAGGGTTTTATGGCAACTCTTAAGAGGTTCATCGCGAGGAGAGGCAAGCCACTACACCTGTACTCCGATAATGGGTCAAACTTTATTGGGGCACACAACGAAATTAAGGAGCTGTACGCTCTACTTCAATCAAAGAGCCATAACGAAACGGTCGAGCGAAGGCTGGGTGAGCATGGCATCTCATGGCACTTCACACCTCCTCTGACTCCTCACTTTGGCGGTCTATGGGAGGCGGGAGTAAAATCTTTTAAGCATCATTTGAAGAGGATCACTGACACTTTGGTGACCTACGAAGAATTCAATACTCTGGTGATTGAAATTGAAGCTATCCTGAATTCTCGCCCCCTCACGCCCATATCGACTGATCCCAATGATCTACTCGTACACACTCCTGGCCATTTCTTAACTGGTGACGCATTAACCAGTCTGTCAGAACCCGAGTGGGAGTCCAGTCCAAGCAATAGGCTTTCTGCTTGGGAACTTATCCAGAAGAAACAACAGGAGTTCTGGAGACGTTGGTATAAAGAATATCTCAACGAACAGATCGCCAGAACCAAGTGGACCACTGGAGAATATCACATCAAGGAGGGCACCATCGTCATTCTTCGGGAGGACAATTTACCTCCTCGTCAATGGGCTCTTGGGAGAGTCATGCAAGTGTTTCCTGGTAGTGACGGAATAATAAGATCAGTGAGAGTAAAAACAGCCAAAGGTGAATTCGATCGTAATGTTCGAAAATTGGCTCCATTACTCGTTGATCAAAAAGGTGAATAAATACGAAAAGACTGAAAAGTTAAAGACACTAAGTGAATCCTTGAGAATGCCAAGTAATGTCATTCATTATTAAATTAAGGTTAAATTCAAATTTCTCCACTCACTTCTAAACTAGATGAATTCAACGATTCAGTATAACGGGAGATATCTGCAATTAGTTGATCATCTCATGATTCTCAACCCCCCTAGTGTGTTCGGTGCACAACCGATTTTTTTTAGATTTGAATGGGGGAATTTCCTCAAATTATTGGTAATTGGGGAAAAATGGTGAAATCACAGTTTATGGAGACCCAAAATCTGGGGTCTGACAATCTGTCCCTTTTTTGCTGTTCCAGGGTTGAGTTTATCCTTTTTATTACGGTCTCACCATAAATCTTAAGAATTTTGAGAAAGTCGGAAGGAAGTAAAATGTTTTCCCCACACGTGCCAAACAGATGACCACCCGTCCAGGCACACCAAAAATTATTCTCTATATAAAAAAAAGGTATCCCATAATTTCGGAAAATCGCCAAAACTCTCTCAACTGTAGTTTTATACACGCCTTCCCACTTTCTTCTGACCAATAGTTTTAAAACGAGAAAATAAGATTAGCCAATAAGAAACATCCATCCCTCCCATTTTCGAATTCAGAACTTGGAATTTTCCCTCAAATCTGAACAGTAACCATCGCGACGTCGTTCAGTGAAGACTCGACTCTCACTGAACCTCTCTATACATCTGGACCTGCCTTCAATTAATTTCGCGTAGATTTAACTATTATCGTGTATTCAATTTGTGTATCTTTGAACAATAAATTTCGTGTAATTAAATTTAAGGCGTTTAGTGAACCTGTGTTATTATTCAAAAACATCCTCAACTCTATTTTTATCCACATTAAACTGAGTCGGTTTACGTTCCCGTATCAGTTGTTAGATAATTATTAGCGTGCTACAGTTCCAGCATACCTGGGATTTACGACCCCAGGAAAAGGTCCTCTACGAAAATCCAGAGTCAACCGCGTCAATAATATACAATACACATTCCTCCCTCTGTCGTGAGCCGATTGAATAATCATTATCTTACTACCTGAAGAACCTCCAGTTAATCAAAAATAATTAACAAACTCATTTGTTAATTACTANACAATACACATTCCTCCCTCTGTCGTGAGCCGATTGAATAATCATTATCTTACTACCTGAAGAACCTCCAGTTAATCAAAAATAATTAACAAACTCATTTGTTAATTACTAAACCACTCTCGTATCGCTACTCTCGTCCGAGACTCCATCCGAGACTGCTTTCGGCAATGTTTAAGGGACCTTCACATACCCCGTCCACCAATAGACGCTCCAAAAATGTTTTTCTTGCTACTCAAAGCCCCTCTAACTAATCGGAAATGATTAAATAATTAATTTGCCAATTACTTAACCACTCTCGTATCTCTACTCTCGTCCGAGACTTGATCCGAGACTGCTTTCAGCAATGTTTAAGGGACCCTCAATTACCCTTTCTACCTACATTGGGTCCACAAAGGATTTTCAACTTATCTAATGCACCCTCAATTAATAAACAAATTGATTTGTGAAGGCATAAACAACTCTCGGATGCACTCTCGGACGAGAGTCTTTACTGGAGTTTGGCGCCCTAACCTCCGAAAATCCGAGAGTCGAATGAGTGTCCATTCCGAGTGTCGGAGCTACTCTCGGATAGGTCTCGGACTCATCCGCCAGCCGATTGAAAAATCATTATCATACTACCTAAGGAACCCCCAATTAATAAAAAATAATTAACAAATTCATTTGTTAACTACTAAACCACTCTCGTATCGCTACTCTCGTCCGAGACTCGATCCGAGACTGGTTTCCACAATGTTCAAGGGACCCCCCATTCCTCCCTCTGTCGTGAGCCGATTGAAAAATCATTATCTTACTACCTAAAGAACCTCCAATTAATAAAAAATAATTAACAAACTCATTTGTTAATTACTAAACCACTCTCGTATCGCTACTCTCGTCCGAGACTCGATCCGAGACTGGTTTCCACAATGTTCAAGGGACCCCCCATTCCTCCCTCTATCGATAGCCGATTGAAAAATCATTCTCTTGAAACTCAATGTGCATCCAATTAATAAAAAATAATTAACAAACTCATTTGTTAATTACTACACCACTCTCGTATCGCTACTCTCGTCCGAGACTCGATCCGAGACTGGTTTCCACAATGTTCAAGGGACCCCCCATTCCTCCCTCTGTCGTGAGCCGATTGAAAAATCATTATCTTACTACCTAAAGAACCTCCAATTAATAAAAAATAATTAACAAACTCATTTGTTAATTACTAAACCACTCTCGTATCGCTACTCTCGTCCGAGACTCGATCCGAGACTGGTTTCCACAATGTTCAAGGGACCCCCCATTCCTCCCTCTATCGATAGCCGATTGAAAAATCATTCTCTTGAAACTCAATGTGCCTCCAATTAATAAAAAATAATTAACAAACTCATTTGTTAATTACTAAACCACTCTCGTATCGCTACTCTCGTCCGAGACTCGATCCGAGACTGGTTTCCGCAATGTTCAAGGGACCCCCCATTCCTCCCTCTATCGATAGCCGATTGAAAAATCATTCTCTTGCAACTCAATGTGCATCCAATTAATAAAAAATAATCAACAAACTCATTAGTCAATTAATAAACCACTCTCGGATCGCTACTCTCGTCCGAGACTCAATGCGAGACTGGTTTCCACAATGTTCAAGGGACCCCCCATTCCTCCCTCTATCGATAGCCGATTGAAAAATCATTCTCTTGAAACTCAATGTGCATCCAATTAATAGAAACTAATTAACAAACTCATTTGTTAATTACTAAACC